GAAGTGCGTCGTCGGAGCGCCGACTGTGCGGAGCGACGGGCGCTCCGATGACGTATTCGGGAAAGGCTTGGGGCGCCCAGCGTGAGGCTGCCCCTCCCCTTCCTGGCTTCGAAAACGGTGCTTTGCGCCGTCTGCTTAGGCCCTAAATCTCCTTAAGCCAGGTGTCCCCCATCTTATATCTATGCATTTCATTTTTTTTCCTACCTAAGTGCAGTACCTTACATTTCTCTGTGTAGAAATTCATGTTGTTAGCTTTGGCCCAGCTTTCTAATCTATTAAGGTCATTTTGAATTTTCATCCTGTCTTCTGGGGTATTAGCCATTCCTCCTAATTTGGTGTCCTCTGCAAATTTGGAACTTGAACATTCATGGATTTGGGGAGTCTTCCTCGGGAGTAAGTCCCACTGAACTCAGTAGGATGTGATTCTGGGTAGAGTGCCATTATAGCATTGTTTTGTTGGTGCAGGCGCAGTAGAGTTTATTGCAAAAGAAACCCCAGAGACTCAAAGTTTGGGAACATGAAAATTGAGTAACCTACTGTGACTGCATAAGAAATATTTTGGCACTCCTTCTGCATTCCCTATATTTGATTTTTTCAAAATGAGAGGAAAGCTACACAAATCTGATTTACAGTGTTTTTTTTATTCAGGCATCACAGCTCAAACAAACACAACTCTGGCATTGAGAAATAAAATAGAGTGAATCAAGGTGGTGTAGTGGTTTAAGTGATGGAAAAACCCCATAGAAACCCTCTGAGTGTCCATGGGCAAGCCACACTCTCTCAACCTCAAGGGAAGGCAAGAGCAAACCCCCTTTAATTAAATCTTTCCAAGAAAATCCCAGATTCATTTTGGGGTCAACGTAAATCGGAAATGATACAGAAACAATAATGATGACATTTCTACCGTCTCTGGCATCAAATTTTTTTTTCCCAGGGTGGATTACAAGTAACATTAAAATGAACAGGTTAAAATGGTTTGGATCAATAAAAAGAGTTTAAATAAACAAAACGGTACATTAAACATGATTGATGGGTTAAAACAGATTTGAAAGATAAAAAAAAATATTTAAAATTACAGTAGGTCCTTGGATCTGCTGGGGTTTGGTTCCAGGACCTGCCATGGATACCAAAATCCATGGATGTTCAAATCTCATTAAATACAACAGATTGTAAAATGGTATCCCTTATATAAAATGTCAAAATCATGGTTTGCTTTTTGGAATATATATATATATATATATTTGCCACGGATGGTGGAATCCATGGAGAAAGAATCTGTGGATATGGAGGGCATTAGTATTTGAGAGAAATCATTGAGGTCCAAAGGCTTTGATGGGGAAATTAAGTTGGAGCCTGGAAAAGCCATGGTTCAAGCCATTGTATCCCCCATCACCATGTACTGATATTCGACAGTGAAGAATATTATTATTATTATTATTATTATTATTATTATTATTAGAAAGCAGATAGGAAGAAAACCAATGCATCTGAGATCATGTGTTGCTGGAGAAGAGTGCAGAGGATCCCATGGATGACCACGAAGACAAAGGAATGGCTCCTGGCTCAGGTCAAGCCTGGGCAAAGTATGTCATGTAGAAGGTAAGAGG